TAAATATCATATTAATCTAAATCATCCAAATCCATGAATTATACACGGTGATTTGTAGGTTGTGGCGTTTAGAAAAATTAAAAATCAAAACAAATTGTTCGCAGAGTTGTAAACTATCTACATCGAATCCGAGCCTCCTTCCATATTCCTCTAGTTTCACTAATTCTAGTAATGCACAATCTTGGATTATTGATGGTTGTGAGGATGACGTTAATGATGATATGTTGTTATCTAAGAGGTAATAGAAATTTTCGAATTAAAATTTTTATAACAATAACAAGAATCACAACTGACATCATGAATAGAGATATTTGACAAAATAACATCCAAAACGCACTGAAAATCATCACCCTAAGGGAGTTGTACTCCACCATCGCTATCTGAAATTCATTCCCCTTAGCAAAACTTAGCCCATCTCGCACAACTATATCTTCCGGGATCTCTATCTTGAACTGTGCAGTCGTCTTTTTCATTTGCATGGTTAGAACCGAACCATGTTCATCCCTCGTATACGTAATATTTATAACAATAACAAGAAATATTTATGTGATGTGACACTAATTAATGACCATTTTCCCTCTTCTTAATTGGAGGGCTCGTGGAACCATTGGTTCCATTTTTCATAATTCTAGGTGGGATTGATTCGATTGAGTCTCGAAATAAATTGTCCCAACTATTCGATGCCTACCTCTAAATACAAGACTAACGACCATGCTACATATATATAGTTTTTTACTTCATTATTTACATTGTGTTATATGACAACATACTATTGGATAGTTTTAAGAAGAAACACTTTTCCCACCCATAATTTTTTGAAAACAAAGAGAATGTCAGAAACGATATAAAGCAAATAATGTAAATTTAGCATTATCGAATGGCTGATGCACATGCAAATGCCCCAAGTGGAGGAAGAAAAAGTTAACAAAAGGGTAACCATCAAATAAAGATTCTTGTTCAATCTCTTCTTTGATTCAATCCCTTTGCGGCTAGAGGCCCACATTTTTTTTGTTTTACTTTTCCATCTATTACACCAAATCTTCTCAAAATCTTCTCAAACTTGATTAATGCACAACTTTTCAAGCCCAACTTTGCAACCTATACTTAGTTGTTTATCATTTAGATTATTCAATATTCATTTTCATTAGTATATTGATCTACATAGTATTTTGAAGGGCGTCGCATGATTAAAATATTCATATTTATATTTAATATGTTAAAATCTTACGTACAAGTCATATAAAATATGTGAATCTGAGTCGTCATGTTAAATATTTTATGATTTTTCCCTCTAGATTTAGGTCACACGAAAGCTTTTTGCGATTATAATGTTCACAATGATGATTTCCGTCGTATGGAGACTCAAATTTGTAAATTTAAATAGTATGCTGACTTAGAACCCGATCTTTAAAAATTAGGGACAGTAATGGAAAGGTTAAAGTGTCCAACCCTAATTTTCTCGTTTTTATTTAATTAAGTATTTAATATTTACCCATTTTACTCTTTGAAAAACAAATTTAGTTCGAGTTAGTTCTTAATGTCAAGCGAATGGACAACCTAATGTCGAAGATTAATTTGTACATCCCAAAAAGAATGGAACCCTTCCATGCTATTTTCCCTATACGTTAAGAGAGTTTGTTGTGGTCATTGCATAATCAACTCTTTCCACTTGATAAGTTATTCTATTTTTTAATTATATTTTCCATATGATTTATGAAATCTTGACTTAATTTTCACATTCTTTGTAGAATTTAATCAATTAATTGATGAAGTCATTTACGTTTTAATTATGCTAAGAGTAGCCCACTTGGCAAATGCTTTATTAAGCTTTTCCAAGATTGACAAATATTTTATTTTTGTTTCTATTCTTTAGTTAAATAGACACACACACATAAAATGTAGTAAACATAGAGAATTTAAATCTCCTTTTGACCAAATTTATAATTTATTTAAAATTGTCGAATTTTAATTTTAATCGCACATTTCGATAGACTTGTAAGAATTATCAACCTATTCATCATTCATTTCTATCTATTTAAAAATTCTTCCCAAATTGAGACTAAGAGATCGTAGCATTTTAAAATTCTATTGATCGGCAAAACCTCAATATAAAAGTAGACTTCAAATGCGCTGATTACTTATGTGAGTCGTAGTCCTTCGTAACAATAATTTTTGTGTCCGGTAAGAAGCAAGGAAATCATACTTCATTCCAATCATGTGTTTGCTCTTCTTTTCTTGAGGAGTGATTGAGAGTTTAACAAGTTGCACCTTGTTTGTTTCCTATTTGTAGAAGAAATTTTACCGTTGCATAGTCCATCAGCCGAAATATTTGACCACTTTGTGTGATAGTGGGGCCCAATTTTTTGAAAAAAATGGTCAAATTATTCATTTTTTCCTTAAAATAATGTGAAACAAACATGGGCTTAATATAGTTAAAAAGAAAGTTTGTTTGAAAATCAAGACGTAACTCAAGTAATAAGAGTGAAAATTTATTGGGTGAATGAATTGGATTCGAATTTTATTAAGAAAAAAATTTAAAATCTCATCAATAGATTCAATACCGAACGACATTCTCCCTAGGTTACACGTGTCCAAAAAAACTCCCCAAGCACACGCAATGATTGGTTTTTTTCGTGACCCACGTAATCAATTTCTCCTCGTTGCCGTCCAATCTAACAGGCCACATTATTTAAGTCAAGGTCCTTTTCCTCTAAAGATTAAAAAAATATTAAGCTTTCAATTTTTATCCTATATTATTAAATAATCATTTACCATTTTCCCACAAAATACAAGAAAAACAATTCTCGCAATAATCTTCAAACCTCTCCACTACCAAACCCTAGCATCGATGTGACTGCCACTATCACTACCAACACCTCTTATTGCCATTAATATCATAACTATCGACCCTTTTAAATCCTACAACCACCAATCCATCTCCAAAGCTTCTTGATCACCACCACACCACCCCCTGAATCCACACACGACCATTTATGGCCACCACCATCTGAGTAGACTCCATCACCTCCATTTACTACAATAGTCATCGCCAACACCACCACCTATTTCTTCCTCGACCACCCCTTTTGCAACCGCCTCCAACACGAAGAGATATCATATATGGTTTGAAAAAAATTAAAATATTGATTTTAAATGAAAATAAGGTATATTTTAAAAAATTATAAAAGGAGATAAATGTAAATTTTGTTTTTTAAATGAAAAAGGTGTTTTTTAAAACACTGGGGGTGATTATTTTTAGGCTATTTTTGATGTTTTCCCTGAAGACAATATAGAGTGACACCCACATCTCAATCTTAATCTCTTACTTTGATTGACAAGAAAATCTTATGAAACTACCACATTAATATTCCTCAATCCCAGCCGTTGATCTCCCATCATCCTAGTCAAACAATCAAAGATTCAATACAAAAATGAAAAAAATAATGTAGGGGTGAATCATCCCAATAGGAAAAAGATTAGGGGCTTGTGTGGGAGGGATTAAAATCAGATTAAAATTGAAAATATAGCCGTTGTTGTTGACTTTTATTAGACAAGTGGGACCCAATAACGGCCATATTTTCAATTTTAATTGGATTTTAATCCCTCCCGAACGGGACCTAAATTACTCACCAACTTCTCTTATATAAATTTCGTTCTAATTTATTTTTAGAGTCATGCTATGTGTACATAAATGTACACATAGAGGTTCACATAATGTAAGTGGGGTGGGGCCCATGCTACAGTATCGTGGGCCCCCACCCCACTCACATTATGTGAACCNGTATAAATTTTTAGCACAAATTCTACAGTTGAGCCGCAAAGATTGACCTTAGTTGTGAGATGTGGGCCCTGCAAATTTGAGTAAAAAGGGTACGAAAATTGATTATAAGGTGAAAAAAACATTTTAGCAGACAGGCTCTCAATTTTTTTCCTCATCAATGTTTCCATTTCAGGAATCCCATTGAGTTCAATTCTAAAAAAATTCATACCATACGATATAGTTTTAAAATAACTAATTTATTTTTGTTAAAAAAAGGATAAATCTACTTGTATATCAAGGTATCCACCCCTTTCAAGTGGGGGTGGAACCTACTTGTATAAAATATTTTTTTATTTAAATGGGTCACATTCCCATGTGAGGGGGTAGACACCGTGATGTACCCGTAGTAAAACCGTTAAAAAAATTATAATAACTATTTTATCTTAATTTTTAACTAGTTAAATATACTATTTATTCTAGAATTTTCTTTTACTTGTATATAAACAAAAGAACTATCAAGTGTATATAGCCCACATGAACTTTGTGTTGATATCTTATTTCTTGAATGCTGTCTGTGTTCTTGTGTGGGTTTTCAGAAAAAATGGATTTCTTCGAGAGAGAACTAACTTTCTAGAATTTTGGGTTCTGGGCTTCTTTACTTCGGAAATTTTATACTAAGTTCTCATTTCCCGGTGAGGATTTCAAAGTTTCCGGCGATATCGCCGTTCGTTTCTTCAACTTCCCCAACATATTTTCGGGTTTCCGGCGGTGTTGCCGTTTATTTTCACTCGAAGCTTCATAAAGTTGCAGTCTTTCGTGGAGGGATCACAAGGGTGTTTTAATGTCATCATCTTCAATCATTTTCTTGAAATATACTCAAAATTTATTTATTATTTGAGTATACTGTTCAGATCCTTATGGGTTCTTTTTCTTTGGAGTTTTAATGTTAATTTCCTCATTTCAGACATCTTTCTTGAAGTTAATTAAACTAAATTACTATATATAAAAAATTACTTGAATCTTGAAAAGTTTATTTATCATGTTCAGATTCAAACCCTGTTTGATATTCCCTTTGGGGGCGTGGATCGAATTAATTGCTAACATTACCTTTATTTTGGAGCTATTTTATTTAAGATTTTGATCATTTATTGGATTTGAATTTGAATTTTTTCTGCTTCTTTTCCATTGTAATTTATCATTGACTTATATTCAGTAAAAAGAATAGAAAAGGGGGAGAAAAATGGCTCTTTCTTTCACTAGATTATCGTGGGGGTGGTTGGCCGGTAAAGAGAAAGAGCAGGTCTCGAATGGGCCATCATTGAATTCGATAAATTCTTTGTCTGATTGGGGGTTAGGATTTAGAGGAGAGCCCGAAGCATTGAAGTTTCACACGGCGAAGGGGAGTAATAGTAGAATGCCCCCTTCAAGTTCGAATAGAAAAGCAAAAGGGAAATGGAAGAGTAGGGAGGAGAGGAAGAGGAGGATTGACAAGGAGTATGATTTGGTGGTGGTGCCATCAGATGGTGTTTCTTTTTCGGGGTCAGAATCTGATGACTCGGACTGGTCCATCGGGTGGCTAGAGCCACATGCTCCCGATTTCCAGAGTGATGATGAGGCAGATGACAGTTTTGCTGTGTTAGTCCCTTGCTATAGACTTGATTGCAAAGAAATAGAGGGCGAGGAGGAGGAGGAGGGGACGGCTAATGAGTTCCTGAGTGCAATTAGAAACCTTCCAAATCAGTACTCTGCTGGTAAGAATCGAGCCTTATATGTAACCATCGCTCATTTTCGAATATTGTCCTTATCTAGCTATGGCTCGTTTGATAACATGGATTGAATAATACTTATTAGTATAAAGTAAGAGTTGAGATGTATATGCAACATTCTCGTTATGGCAAGTTCAGTAACATGGATTGAGTAATACTTATTAGTATTAAGTAAGAATTGAGCTATATATGCAACACTCGATCAATTTTAGATGCTGTCCATGTCTTGCTATGGCAAGTTTGGTAACATGGATCCATTAATACTTAATTAGTATTAAGTAAGAGTTGAGCTGTATAAGCAAATCCTTGTGTCCTTGCTGTTTCCCCATGTTATTGCTTTCTATTTACAGTATGTTTTTTTCTCCTTGAATTGTGATATACTGACGATGATAAGCTCGATCGAAACTTTTTGGGAAATTGCATGTGTACTTAAAATCTCCGTTCCTCTTTGGCATATGCACTTAAATTAATTTGTATTGCTTGAAGACATAGATGAAATAAATCTTATAATTAGAGATTTCAAATATTAATAGATCTTTTAGTTCTTGAATCTTATCCTTAGCATCTGTATATTTAATGCTTTATAGAAGCCAGAGGCCTCTGCTTGTGTACTGACCAGGCATAAGCATTTTCCACGTGTCATATTTTATTACGATACATAGTGCCGTTTGCACGATGTCGAGAACATTATGCTGGTTGTGACATGCTTTATATTAGACCCTTGTTTGGTGGGGATTAAAATCAAGTTTTTAAGATAAGTCAAAAGTCAAATAATTAATTTTCATGGGATCCACAACTTTTGAACCACACATTTTATCAACTTTTTTCAAAATCTACTAAACATCTAATTTTTATCCAAACTAAACAGAGGATTGATGATAAAATGTCACTTTGATGTTAAACTAACCATCTCCAGCTGCTTTAACAGCTGAAGGCTGTATTTGCTAGGAGACTTGCTTCATTGCCTTGCTTCCACGAGAACCAGCAAGAGAAACCTCTTTAAGAGTTGGATAAATAGCCACAAATCTTCCAAGAATGAGATTGCACAGGTTTCTTGACTGAGTAGATATCACACTATTATGATGAATCCACAACAAACAGAGTTAGGTTATTAGATCTTACAATATGTTCAAATTTCGCAGAATAGATTTTATAGGCCAAGCCAACAAAAAATCTTTAGTTGAACTAACATTTTCCATAGCCAGTAGTCCCCTATCGAAGAAGAAAATGACCCCACAAAATCTACTAAACATCTAATTTTAATCCCACCACCACACATGGGCTAGATTTACGTGTAGATCCGTTTGTAGCATGGAGAGACCAGAGATGGGGGGCCACTAATATGTCTTTTTTAAGCTACCAAGCATAATGTTTGGCCTAATTTAGATTCTTGAACTATATATTTCTCATCGTGAAGAACTTTTTTTCAATGTAGTCTTTGCGAATGGGATAGATAGACTAAAGCCAACACAACATGTTGTGATTGCTAAGGATATAGTTTTGAATCTGCCAGTAGATTTACCAATGAATTAAATGGCAAGGATACAGCCAAGTTTTAGGAAGGTTTAGTTTTTGTTGTTTTTATATTCTTTGTGGATGGCATTTGATGAAGAATGTGGTGTACTTAATTTGTTTCTCTCAGTTGAAAGTGCTTTTCTATTATTCCCGTGGTTCGTTCCTCGTAGATAAAATTTCACTGGTCTCTCTTTTATGCAGAATAAATGGTGATGGAAACTTATTTTTTCCTTTAATCTGGTTTTGTTGCAGAAGGAAAGAAGTACATGGAGCAGTGGCTTTCCTCTTTCAACAATTATTGAAGCTTCTGCTATTTAGAGCATGTTTGGCTAAGATTAAAATCGGATTAAAATTGAAAAATTAGCCGTTATTATTGATTTTTATTAGACGAGTGGGATTCCATAACGGCTATATTCTCAATTTTAATTGGATTTTAATCTTAGTCAAACATGCTCTTACAATCAAACTCTAAAGTACAAGTCGCAAATTTGGGATCAATATTCGTGTACATTGACAAGTACATCTTTCGGTTATCGAAAAGATTATATACTTTGATATCAGTGAGGGTGGAAGACAAGTAATCGTTTAGCTCAACATTGCAATATGTAAGTTCATATTGTTACCAGTGTTAGCCTTCGACGATTGTTCTGTGTAAATATAGCCATTGTGAATAAATCCTGCTTTCCTATGAAGCCTGTCAATTCTCTTGTACAAAAAGATAAATCTTCCCATGTTACTTTGTTACTTTTCATCATCTGTGGATAAGAGATTTCATTTGGTGCACTTTTCTGGAATTTCTATTTTTCTTAAAGACATTATTCCTTTTTTTAGTGTGTGTGATTTTTGTTTGTTTAAAGCAAGATTGCATAGTACATCAGCTAAAAGTGAAGAAATTCTAGGTAGAACTCACTTTTCTCTCTAAAAATTATGCCTTCCTATAAGCTATATGTTTTGGGAAAGACACTGATGCTCGCCCAACTTATAGTGTCGTTTCAATTTGGTCATTGAACTCTTTTTAGTTCTTTTTCTCTTCATTAATTTGCACGACGGTGAAATGCAGCTATAAGTTGCTTTCTAGAGGCGTTTTCAAGTCGAAAATTTGCGATAGATAATAGGACAAGAAGTACCTATTTTTCTTGAAGATTTTTACATTGTGCGTTCCCACTTCTTGAGTCTGTTGTCCTTCCACATAAGTTAGGTTCGTAGTCGTAGTAGACTTTGACTAAACGTGATGGTAGACTGAGTTTCAGGTCATGATGGGGATGGCTGGTAAATGAGTCTAAAATTGCTTTGTAAATTACCCTGCAAGATCGTTCCACAAAAATCAAACCAGAATGTTAAGAATATTACAGTTGACCGAGTTTTTTCCGTCCTACCTCTACATAAATAGTAGACTCGACCTTAGGTCATATGGAAGAGGGATGGTAAACGAGTCTTCAAAATGTTTTGCAAATTAATCGAAGTTGTTCATATGAAAATCAAACTTTGGATTGTTGGGAATGTTATAGTTGACCGAGTTTTTTCGTCTCTCTCCACAAAAATTGGTGAAAATCTTTCTAAGCCCATGTTTGATATTGCTAAAAATCAGTTTTTAATAAATTTTGATAAAAGTTGATAAAAATATATAATTAAAAAGTCGATAAAAGTCGTAAACTCCATTAAATATATAATTAAAAATGAGACCAATCAAAGACTAAATGCAACGAGACTTGTGTCATAAACTTCAATGGGCCTTGTAGTTGTCCCTACTTTTCGTCTATTTTGTGGTCCCTTGTGATCATACCGATAGGGATGATATCCAAGTGATTAACCTACCAATTACTGTAAGAACCCATTTCTCTCTCTCTCTCTCTAATTTTTTTGTGGTCCCTTGTAGTCATATACCGATAGGGATGAAACTGGTTTTCCTCAGTAGTCAGTATGAACCCATCTCTCTCTCTCTCTCTCTCTCTCTCTCTCTCTAATATTTTTTTTTTAATGTATAGTGATAATGGCTTTCAAATTTCTCTGGACTTAGCATAGAATTAGTGATTTGATTATGATCAACTACAAAAAAATAAAGTGACCCTTCATCTTAAGATTATCTCGAAGATAGCTCGATATATTAAATTTGTAGTTGTGTTAGGGATTTTTGAAGAAGATAGTTACTATTAGGATTGGACATGATCTGATTTGATTCGATTCTAAAAAGAGTATAATCAAATCGGAATTTTCGGGTATTTAGTAATTAGAACTGTCAGGTTCAAGTTTAATTATGGAACAGTTCGGGTTTGGTTTAATTTGGTTTAGCTCAATTAAGTTCGGTTCGGTTCTATTCGATTCTTGGGTCTCGTATAATAATTAATTTTTATTTTATATTTACAATAATGCTACATTAATTCGACTATGACATGTTCAATCTTAACTTTTACAAAATAACGCAGTTCAATCTCATGATATCTTTTGCACCTTTTTGTTGAGTTTTTCATACATTTGACTATTAAAATCACAAGAAGATGAAGATAGCAAGTTCATGATAATAGAATGACAGAAACGGCACTACGGTAAAATAAGAGATCTAGATAAATTTAGGTCAATTTGATTAAGTTTGACTTAGCTAAAAATTAGAAATAGTAAAATCATATTTTGGGTTTGAACTAAATTAATTAGTTAGCATATTCATTTAGAAAAAAATAAAATAATTTGACTTATTTAAAATAAAAAATAAAAAAAGGGGAGATTTGGTTATTCGATTCTAGGTCTAAAGTCAAGAACCTAATGAAATTCTTTCTGTTCTCGATTCAGATACTCATCAAGGTATATAACTTAAAAACAATCGCTCGATTCGGTTCGATTTGAGAGTTTTGTCTAACCCTAGTTACTCTAATTTCTCTAACGAAATTTTTTTTCTTGTTTTAGCACATCATTTGGTTGGAGTTCCGTGATGAATATCTGAAAGTGAAAATTAGACCCGTTAGTTCTTTTGTTTTCAAAATTTTAGGAATTTCAATTTCGCCACAGCTGATATCTTTATATTTACGATCATTATAAAATATTTTATTTCCTAATTGATAGGTAATTAAAATTGTTTACAATGAAAATATCTTACTTTTAAGTGACCAAAACGTATAATTTCTTCGTAAATGGAGCAATTCACAGTAATTTTGAAAAACTTCATTCTTACAACGTCGTTTGTCGATTAATTTCATAAAATTCTTTTTAAGCTTTAAACCATTACTAGAGTTAAGTGATCACTCTATTTTAAAATTAATGTTTGTCGGACAAGGTCAGTGACCGATCAGAATCTAGGCGGCCCCTAATTTGAAAAACAGGGCCCCACATGAATTCAAATCAAAGGCCGACCATCTCGGCCCCTGGATTTGGCCCTGGATGAACAGCATTGCTCCTATTTTAAATTCATTATCTTCTGCTTACTATCCTGCAATGGTGTTACTGTCTCTTTACGTTGCTTTATAGTGATGTGAATTGCGGCAAGTAACGAAAACTCAAGTTAGTGTTAGGGTGTCGGGTTAAGACCCCTTCGAATGTTCCTTGAGTTGACGCCATTGAGACATCTAGAACAACCTAATATTGTGTCCGAATTGCATTATGAATTAAATTTATACTTATATATACATTTATCTTTTGTCAATGGTAATATTTAGTAATGTGAATTCTTGCTTATGAATTTCGCTAGATAGCGACACCTTAAACATTTAATGCACTATATATATATGGCCGTGTTTGAACCACATTATTTTTTTCATCCTTCTACTCATTTTTAACCACACATTCTTCAATAAAATAATATTTTTCATCATATCATTAACATTTCCTTCTTTTTCAACCACATATTCCATGTCATATCAACAGTAAAAATGCATCCTTTTTTCAAAAATGTGTATCAAACGGGGGCTATATATATATATAGGTGGTGTAATTTATGCTAAGCACTAGATGAAGCGACACACTACAATAGGTGGTGTAATCAGCTTTGTAACTAATCATTAGCTTACACAACTTATTGTAGCATGCCATGTCATTCGAGTAATTAGAATAAGTCAAGCATCGGTGTTTAGAAGATCATACATATCTCTTAAGCATCTGTGATGACCGGTTACATGAAACACTACAATATGTGTTGAAATAAGTTTTGTAACCAATTATTATCTCTCACAATCTATTGTAGTATGCTACATCATTTGGTGTTTAGCGTAACTTGGTACCCTTTTTATCTTATTTTCTATGAATGAGACTACTTGCTTCACTTCGACCAATGGTTCCTTAAGGAATAGATTCAG